GATGAGTATGACGATCATGATGATGACGATGATGATAATGATACGATGATGATGGTGATGATGATGATGATGGTGGTGTTGGTGGTGGTGATGTTGATGATCGTGATGATGCTGTTGATGATGATTCTGGTATGGTTGTTGTCGTTGGACTCGCACTCTTGAAGAATCAATTCTGTTCCCCCCCCACCAGTGCACACTCTGTTTTTTCAGTTGAGGTGCCCCCGTCGGGGCTCACACCCTGGTTTTTAACAGGAAAAGTCTTCCGGCTCAAACTGCGTGTTTGGGCCCCGAACTAAAACAACAATGGCTCCCGCCTAATTTTCTTCACAAGTTATTGCAAAATGGCGCTCTCGCGCGGGATTTCTTCACAATTTCTGCAGGAATTGCGCTTTCACGTGGGACTTCCTCGCAATTTATTGAGACGCCGCGCCCTCGACACTCAGGAATCACGCTCTCGCGTTAGCTTCTCTCACAAATTACTTTGGAATCGCGCTATCGCTCGAGGCTTCCTCACGATTCATGCAGGACTCACGCTTCAGCAACCCTCCGGCTCGACCTTGCCGCCTGGGCCCGCCTTCCCAACCCGCCCGCCAGGATCTGCCCGTCCGATTTGCCCGTCTGGTTCTACCCCATGTTTTCTGCTCCTAGCCTCCCTCCTGCTAATTTCTCTCGTGCTCCATCCTTCTCCCTCCCCGTTTCATCCGTGCCCTCTTCTCCTGTTTTCGGGGCTGCACGACATGCATGGGGCAGGTAAGGAAGATTTATCCCCAAGAGGGGGTACCATCGAAGACAAAGAGGGCGGGTAAAGAGGGTTTAGGATATACGAAATAATGGCACGCGAGCAGACAGAGCGAGCAGTCTGAATCTCATCGTTGTTGTTGCTGTTGCTGCTGCTGCTGCTACTGTTGCTGCTGTTGCTGCTGCTGTTGTTGTTGCTGTTGTTGTTGCTGCTGTTGCTGTTGCTGTTGCTGTTGCTGTCGCTTTTGTGATTGCTCTTGTTGATGATGGTACTGCTGATGATGATTAGTATGATGATGATGTCGTTGATGACCATGATGATGCTGATGACGGTGATGATGGTGACGATGATGATGGTGATGAGGATGATGCTGCTGAGGATGACGATGATTATGATGCTGATGCTGCAGCTTCTGTTGTTGCTAATGTGGATGATGATGCTGATGCTGATGCTGATGCTGATGCTAATGATGCTGATGCTGCTGCTGAGGATGATGATGCTGATGCTGATGCTGATGCTGATGATGATGATGATGATGATGATGATGATGTTGATGATGCTGATGATGCTGATGATGATGATGATGATGATGATGCTGATGATGGTGATGGTGATGGTGTTGTTGATGATGATGCTGCTGATGATAATGGAGGAGAAGGAGGAGGAGGTTTGGAAGAGCGAAGGTCCTCGGGCTCGGCAAGGAGGGCAGACGACACCCCGAGAACAAGGATGCAGGAACCTCCCTTGGCCTCCTGAAGAGAGGCATCGACCCCAGCACCAAGCGTTTCTTTGGTCGCAGCATCCCCATATAGGGGTGATGCGGGTGTTTCGGCCCCGACCGCAACCCCCCTTTTCCCCGTCTCTGCTGCTGGTATCACGCCGTGTGGCCTGATGGCACAAAGGCTGAAAGGCTGAAAGGAGGGGGAGGATGGGGGGGAGGGGGAGGAGCACGACAACCACTGCCGCCACCACCAACACCACGACGACGACTCTGAACACGACGACCCCCACGACCACCGACGCAAAGACCACGACCAGCGTCGGCACGTTCACCACCGCGGCCACCGCCGACCATCACCACGACAACGACCACGGTAAGCACGACGGCGCCATGACCACGGACCACTGCCACTGCCATTACCACCACAGGGTCATAAGTGGGAAGGAATCTCAGGCGAAACGCCCGGCCCGCCCTTTCGACGAGCCTCGGGGCGCGACGGAGGAGTTATTTATAAGGAAATGGAATGGAGGTCGAGGAGGGAGGAGAGACGAGAGGGAGGTGGAAGGGGGAGGAGGGGGAGGGATGGGGGAGCGGGTGGAGGGAAAGGAAGGGGAGGATGGAGGAGAGGAGGTGGACCCTCAGATCTGACGTTGCAGAACGAACTTGCAACATCGCGAGAAATCATGACCGGTGCCCCAGGCCTCATCTTGCTGCGCCATCCCCGGAGCCGCATCGATCTGGAAGGGTCCCGGGGCCCGAGATCGGGCGAAAAGGCCTGGTGTGGAAAAAAGGGTTACGCCAGGATCTCAAGGGAGATGGAGGGTCGGACGGTGCTAAGACGAGGATGAATCCGTTCCAGAGCTTTCCGGAACGCTCTCAGAGCGGTCAGGAACGCTCCGAGAAGAGCGCGGCGCCCGAGACATCTTTCAGAGCCGCCGGATCCCAGAGATTCTCGATTTATCCTCACCCGCTAATATTTGTCCTGGCTTCGTCTTGGAGGGAGGAGGGGAGGCCAGGGAGGGGAGCGGTGCCCCCCGAAGGCCGCCGCGGGCTCGTGCGCGGCCGACGGCTCCCGGGCGGCGTGCGGTGGGGGCGCGCCAGGCGCCTTGCGGCCGGGGAACTTCCACGGCGTCAAGGGCCACGCGCACTACGTGTCGCCTGCCCTAGGCGTGCTCGTCCCTTCGCCTCGGTGGCCACGTGCGAAGCCCCCCCCCCCCCCAACGATTTCTAAAGGGTGGGGAGGGGGTTCACTTCAGTCGGGAGCTCCCAAGCGGAGTGCCCCCCCCCCCCCCCCAGGAACCGTTGGGGGTGGGGGTAGAGTTCACACGTGGCCAGCCCTCCTTCCGCTCCTGTCGTGGCTGATGGAGGCCCACGAGTGCCCCTCGGCTGTCTTCGAGCGCGACGTGGATCCACGCCGCTGCGACCGAGAAGAGTCGGCTGCCCTAAAGCCCCAAGGCCCTGACCCAGACATGCTGGCGTCATGAAAGAAAACACGACCGTAGGTTTTTGGCCGTGACGAAAACTCCGCCTTGGGGAAGTGGTCGGGACTTCTGGGGACCCCGTATTGATTGATTACTGCGACGGAGAGACCCCATGTGAGAATCTGTTTAGCTTGCCTGAGGATCTCCTCTTGCTCACTCCTCCTGAACCCTCCTGCCTCCTCCTCCTCCTCCTCCTCCTCCTCCTCCTCCTCCTCCTCTTGCCTCATCCTCTTGCCTTGGCCTCTTTCTGCCTCCTCCTCCTCCTCCTCCCCATGCCTCCTTCTGCCTCCTGCCTCCTCCTGCCTGCTGCCTCAGCTTCGCCTCCTCCTCCTTATTCATTTCTTCTATTTCCTCCCTCTCGTCCTCGTCGTGCTCGTCCTCCTCGTCCTCCTCCTCCTCGTCCTTCTCCTCCTCCTCGTCGTCGTCGTCGTCGTCCTCCTCCTCCCCCTCCTCCTCTTCTTCCTCCTCCTCCTCCTCCTCCTCCTCCAAGGAGCATCAGCGGTGAAAAGAGGTTGTGTTGCCTTCGCCTTGGTTCTTTCTGCAGCTCAGGTTCAGGAGTTGGTCTTTGAAGTGATGAATGAGGAAGAGATGCATTTCCTTCCTTGGGTGGGGACGAGGCAGTCGCTTGAATGTTGAAGCAGTGGCAGCAGCTGTGGATTCACGAGCAGCGAGTGGAGGAGGAGCATCCCTAATTGTGGCGAGGAGCGGGGTTCGACTCGGGTCTGCTGCCAACATTCACCAGTGCCGATCGAGCTCTTCGTGGACTCGTACAGTGAGAAGGCAGGGCTCGGGTGGGACCAGCTTCGCTCACGTCAGCTGCGCTGGTTGCCAGTGGGTTACAGGTTGCGTTTTCTTGAAGTGCTGCAGGCTTGGGAAGCCGATCCATTGGATAGCAAACTCTCTTTGATGCTGATATCCTTCTTCCCGAAGCCGCCTCCAGGCGGTGGCGTTCGCCCCTATCGTCCTCAATTGTGTCTGGTACTGATGTTTGTAAGAGATCACATGCCCCGGAATTTCCTACACCTGTTCAACAACCAGGGCATGCATTCAATTGCACATGCACCTGCCGTTTCACACCGAGTTATATATGCCCGGACTTGCGTGTGCATATTGTGCCGTCTCGGCGCTCTCTTGTCGTTCGCCCTCCACGTTGCTTTCCTTTTCTGTGTCCGCCAGGTCCGTGACCGTGTCTGTTCCTGTCAAGGATGTAGTTCCTATGGATGATATCCCTTTCGTGGAAGATCGCCCCTGTGTCGCCGACATGCTACCCCGTCGCTGTGCTACAGCAGTGCTGCAGCTGCGTAGCCGTCCTCAGTCGTGCTGCTGCGGCTATGTCGCGGCGTCCCGCGGCGATGCCGCCCAAGAGCCCGCTTTGCTTCGGCTGCCCCGCGGCTGCCCCGCGGCTGTCCCGCGCGCCCTTTTCAGCGCAGGGCGGGGTCGCCTCGACGAACGCAAGCCGCGGCCTCCTCAGTGTGCATCAGGCCGCTTGCTTTCAAACTGCCATCTTTTATTCATGGGTCCCAACGGGGCTTCATCCCTTCCCGCAACTTCGGGGGCAACATTATTGAGCTCGATACTCATGCTCGGGTCACATCCATGATGCCAGAAGTACGGACACGTATGCCTGCTCTACTGGCGTTCGACTACGGGCAGGCTTTCCCCTCGGTCTCACAGCACTGGATCTTCCTGATGCTGCGCGCGCTCAACCTGCCGCCGCCCCTGTGCGCGTTCCTGGAAACGATTTACTCCGAAGTCTCGTGTTGGGGTCAGATCGGGTGCACCGTTATCTGTTATCTTTATGTTCATGATCGAATCAGGTATTATCCAGGGATGTCCCGCTAGTGGCGCTCTCTACGCTGTCGCTTCGCACGCTTTCGCCGCTCACTTCGAATGGTTGATAGAAAGACGCGGACACGGACTAGCTCGACTATGTGCTGACGATGTAGGTAGTGTAATTAAGCAGATCAAACACCTTAGATACTTACATACTGTCTTTCGGGCGTCGAAACGGGCGGCCAATCTAGTTCTTAAGCTCCCAAAGTGTAAACTTGTACCCCTAGTAGGCGAATGCACACCCGAAGTTATTGCAGCTTACAAGATCTGGATTCAGGTCAATCTGCCAGAATGGAGCGAGTTTCAGGTGGTGCCCAAGCTTTTGTACCTCGGGATCTTTCTGGGCCCTTCGGCCGTGCCGTCCTCCTGGGACGCCCCCGTCGCGAAATGGTCCCTGCGGGCCGGCCAAATCTCCCGAGCTGGCACACCTTCTTCGATTGCCGCGGCGATGTACGACAGCCGTGCTGTGTCCTGTTTGGGATATGTCGCCCAGTTCTTTCGGGCCCCAAAGTCTGTTCTCCCTCGTGAACACGCCATCTTTGCGTCTCTGTTTAAAATGCCTCACTGCTCTCTTTCGCGACAAGCGTTCTTTTCTCTTGAAAACTGGGGCGGCCCCAAGCTTCGAAGTATTTATGCTCTCGGTCTCGCGTCTCTAATTCGATCGTCAATCAGCGCGTTCTCTGCCTGGCGCAGTTGCGTTGAGGTCCTCTCGGAGGCTGGAGTGCACCTCTCCCTGGAAGATGTCGGGCGCCACAGAAGGAGCCCATCATTTTGGGCCGAGCCTCCGATCGCAGACTCTCTCGCAGACGCGTACCGTGGTTTTGTTTCAGACCCGAGGCTAGCTCCGATCGGGGTCCGTGCAGTACAGGCCGCTCTTGATTGCCAAGCTTCAGGTTCGAAGAAGCTCCAGCGAGCCGCTTATAATGTGATTGTTTCCTCTGTGTTCCCTCCCTCCCTCGCCCCCTCCTTCGTGGCCCGCCTGCGCCACCTCCTCCCTCATGTGCCTCCCGTCCGCGTCAGAGGCGTCGACTGGACTGCTGTGCAGAACGCTTCTGTACAGTGTCCGCCAGCGTGGCGGCAAACTATAGTAAAAACGCTTGCTGGTGCCTGGGCAACGGACAGTCGGTTCCAACAGAGTCGCCAGTGTATGTTTAACTGTCCGAATTGTATCGACTCGCAATCCCATTATCTTATATGTCTTAGATTTTGGGGTATCTTGGTTGAGTTTCAGGGCCACCCGTTACCCGACGACCCCATTGTAAGATTAGGTCTGGTGAACCCCTCTCCCAATTCGCTGTCCATCACTGTTGCCGCCTTTTACCTTTTCACTCTCGCCCATCCTTGTCCTCGTCCGCTCTCGTCCGAGGCCGCCCGTGCTCTGATCCCACAGCTCCGCTCTTCCATTCGCCTTGTATTGCGCCCGCATACGCCGACTACGTCGGCCACGGGCATTCGTCCTGCCAGGCCGCCCCGCTCTCACAGCAGCAGCGGGAGTGGAAGTGACAGCAGTAGCAGTAGTAGCAGTAGTAGCAGTCAAAGTGTAGGCGAGTAACTCGAACTTGTCCGATGGGTACGAGCGCAGGAGGAGGAGGGGGAGGGGGGGGAAGAGGAGAAGGAGGAGGAGGAGGAGGAGGAGGCCGTCCGTGAGGGTTCTCGGGGCATCGTGGGCAAGAGGTCTCCCTGGGCGGGGTGCTGCAGCCCCTGCGCGGGCGCCGCTGCCTGCGCTTGCGCGTGTCGGGGGAAGGGGGGATATCCGATTTCAGCCGCGGAGTTTTCAGGCTCGGCAGGAGAAGTGCGCGTGCAGTCTGTTTCGTCAGGTCGCGCGGTGGCGGTCGCGAAACGGCCGGCTTCCAACGCGCAGGGCATTCTAGCGATGAAGCGCTTGGTTTCCTGAGCTCAACGGGGCCCCCTGAGGCGAGGTCCTGCGCGGGAAGGCCGAGGTGGGGCTCGCTGGGCGCGAGTGGCACCTGGTCAGGAGTCTGGTCTCGGGCGCGCACGGGCCTCGGGCTAGGCTGGCGGAGCATGATACATCGGCGTTTTACGCGTCTCAACTGCGCGGCTGTCGGGGCACCCTGTTCCAGCGGGGGTTCGACTGCCAGTGCTCGGAAGGCTTCAGACGCACTGATTTGCTGCCCTCCCTCAAGCGAGCGGCTTGGGAGGTGGCGGCCCCCTGGGGGGGGCTTCTTTTTTTGTCGACGCGTTTGCTTCCTTCGCCTGAGCAGTGCTTCGGGCGCCCCGCAGCCTCCGAAGAATATTGGGTGCGCTTTGCGGGGGCCATGCCTGGATGGAGGTGGGGTGGCCCCATCTTCGTGGACGGATCAGCCTTCCGCGCGAAATTCGGATCGTGCGGCGAGCAGGCTGGGCCGCGGTGCAGATTGGCCAGGCTGGCCGCCTTGTCGCCTGTATGTGTGGGGTGTCGCCTCAGGGGTGGGGGCCTGATCAGCGGGCTCGGGGCTGGGGGGACTGTGCTTTCCACGTGCCTGCTAACTAGTTTTACTGGGTCCCCTTCAGGAGGGCGACGTGGGCGTTCCATTGGTAGTTTACAGTGATTGTTCTGGCTCGGTCTCCCGTGCCACCTCCTCGCCCGCCGCCGTCGACCCCAGTTATGGGCGTCGCCGCGCGTGGCAGCTGTGGCGGGCCAAACATGGCCTCCCAGCGACTGCGGTCAAGGTCGAGGCTCATCGCGCGCCCCAGGCCGCCACCTCTTGGGGCGAAGTCTGGCAGTTTCGAGGGGGTCGCCCGGCGGACGAGTGGGCCAAGAAAGGGGCGCCCAGCTCTGGGCTGTTCAGGAAGAGCAAGCACTTGTTTTAGGAGGTTGTGGGCGTCGAGTTGTGCATGC